AAATATGGGTGATATATGCAATGAGTGCCCAGTAACATATGCATTACATATTTATAATCATACTCACTGGGTCCAACTGTAGCATGGCTACTTATTGCTAGAGCCAATAGAACCTGAATAAAAAGAAATAAACTAAGCGACAGCAATGAACAACTTAAGCAGCAAGATTCCTGTTATGTCGGTTAACATTCACACTACAGGAACATGGCTTGGATGGTAGACCAGTTCTCTAGCAAAACCCTGTTTCCTATCAAAATTTAGTTTGATATATTTTTCTCATTGCATCACTAAGTAAGGCAAGATTAAGTTTGTTTTGATTTATTTACGATTAACTTCTGAGTTCTGAGTAATTTTGGATATGTTCTTGACTGTCGGGTTTAATGGGGAAATTGTGTTAAGGATGGTAGAAAGGCTTTCACGCTGTTAGTAGTCTCCTCGCGACATATTAAGTAGCAGACTCCCTACACAAATGAACGGCAGGTGCATATAAACGGCTAAAATTGTTCTGTATTTGTTGATGGAGGCGAACAACTACTCTGAACAAATGTCGAAAGTCAAATCAACTGAACTTGGGTAGCCTGTTCAATGAAGTTCAGCGAAAAAAAATTGTCGAAATGGTCAAAAATCTGTTGATATTGTCGTCATTATATAATCGACAATGGTAGGTGTTTGAAGTTGTGAGAGTAGATGATATATGAATCACGGTAACACTTATTTGATAATGTAACACAAAAGGAAATCAATAGTCCTATGTCACGCTATATTTACTTACTTGTAGTTATTTACTCGGTGGCTTGTCGACATAAAGATCGTGCCAAGTGAGTAAAGAACGTTAAAGCTCATTTGTCTGTTGCACTAATGAACGACGGGACTGCAGCTACCCCAACTCATTTGAGACGAATTATCATGATATGTTCAGCAGGGGCTGCGCTTGCAAACAAGTGCCAATCGCACAGGATATTTGAGATTTAAGTCTGTTAGCCACGAAAATAAGCGTGTTAAGTCTTTTTTTAGACATAAACCAGGCAATTTTGTTTTAAACGAGATCAGAATCCAGTTGCACTGAAAACAGTACAATTAATTCTTCCGTCTTTATCTGATTCGTTGAGAGGATCATATATTCAAGACAAAGTTTTCAAAAATCAGAAGTTTATTTCAAAATAATTAATACTAATGAGTGACGAAGGTTTGCGCTCTTAGAATGTTAGCTACATATGTATCAAGACTTTGAGAAATTAGTGAATTATCGTATAATAATGTACAACTATGACGTCATAAAACCTCTAATTCTAATAATTAATAACAAGTAATTTGGCTGCACATTATTGTTGTTATGTATGATAACTATAATAATATAAAAAAGTATTACGTACCAATATAATGGGGAGAAAATTCATTTCCATTTCGTCGACAAACGATTCTGTAAGACAAAGTTGAATATCGATACAATATACTAGTTTTTGAAATTAGTAGTAGACTGGGTTATAACAAGTGTATAGTATTGGGCATTTCCAATATACCGGGTTATAACAAGTGTACGGTATAAGGGTTATAACAAGTGTATATTTGTTTTGGAATTAGCAGTAGACAGGGTTATAACAAGTACATGGTGTTGGGCATGTCCAGTAGTCGGGGTTATAACAAGTGTACGGTATTGGGCATTTCTAGTAGACACGGTTATAACGGGTACGTAGTATTGGGCATTTCCAGTAAGCAGGGTTATAACGAGTGTATATTATTGGACATTTCCAGTAGGCGGGGCTATAACAAGTGTACAGTATGGGCATTTCCAGTAAACAGGGTTAGATAAAGTGTATTTTATTGGGCATTTCCAGTAAACATAGATATAACAAGTGTATAGTATTGGACGTTACCAGTAAACAGGGTTATAACAAGTGTATGGTATTTTACATTTCCAGTAGACATGGTTATAACAAGTGTCTTGTTTCCAATCCAAATTATCCAAGACACACCCTCTCCTGACCTAGATCGACAATAATTATTTTGTAAGGTTACAATAACCCGCCAACTATTATTAAATTACATGAACTAAATATAATTCAGTCGAGAACCACATAAAAATGAAAACAAATACTAGTACATATCATACCCTACAACATAGAGGGCGCATATTATATATGGACAGAGAAATATGTTTACCACATTTCATTGTAATTATTTTATCTGATCTTTGGACAACAATTATAGATAATATCATATTCACGTCAGAATAAGAAATAAGCAAAACATATTAGGAGAATTGTCTCAAGTTTCAGAGCACGTTACTGTAACACACACAGAATGCCATATTATTGTGTCATGAGACAATAGCCCCGCAATGGCACGTAATAACCAATGAACATTGTCATGCAATATATCACAAATTAATATTAGTATTATAAGGCTTCTACCTCATTTTAATTATACAGTTCTTCAGTAATATCAATTCAAATTGTTTTATACAATAAATAAAAATTATAATCAAAAGCATCATCTTCAGACGGCAGACCCGGTCAAGGAAAGAATGATTCGATCAGTGATTCACACTCAAACTAGCAGTCAAAGTAATGTAATAGAAGCATGATTACGCCGCGCACAGTTGCCATCTCTCAGTCCCCGCGACACCATGGAATTACACGCCGCTGAGACAACCAGTGCAGTACCGAACCGTGAACGTCCCAGTATTTTCACAACACCGTTTATGAGTAAACAAAGTCCAAGTATCCCACCCACCGTTCCGATGTTTACAATAATACAACGCAGCCTGCCTCGTACCAATGATATCCCTATTCAATAGTGTGATGCAGTCTCCATGCTAACCAACCAACCCCTCCAGCAACCCAGCCACCGTTACTGAAACGCCCACCATCCCCCGAGCATGATGACAGTGAACAAATAGTCACTTTTTTAAACCAATTTTGTGTTTTTTTTCTAGCTTGTTTTCTCTTAGCAACAGCATGACACATTTCAGTCAACTCGTAGATACATATTACATGATATAATGTTTTCATACATTTGAAAGTTGTGTTTACTACCAGATAAAATGAAAGAAATATTGATTTTGAAACGATTTAGACATTTTTGAAACGTTACCCGACTTCGTTGCATTAACTCTTGAACGTTCGGTATTTTTGGCACGTTTGAAACTGTTACAAATTTGACTACCGACAATTAATATATAGTTGACACACAATTACAGTATAGTAAAAAAAATACTAACCAGAAATGACAGTATGTTGCTGCGTCTTCTAATTGCGATCAAGTGATCTGTATTCAAGGTACAGGAGTGATTTTATAACACATGTCTATGTTTGGTCAGATAACCACTCATCGATTAATATTTCCATGTCATTTGCGTGTGCAGATTAGGCGTGACTAAAATATGAAAAGAAGTGTTATTGCTGCTTTGTTGCTGATTTAACATAAACCTTATTATTTATAACGTTTTACAGTATGCAGCTGGTGAAATATAATCAGAGGCGACGGCACGAAACTTTGCATTTGGGAGGGTCTAGATCTGCTCATCAATCGTGTGCCGAAGGCGCGACCTTACTAGGGGATCCAGGAGCATGCTCTCCCTTAATAATTTTAATTGCTGACACAAAGGGTTTTAGTTTGATTTTCTAGGATCCGACCCCCCCCCTAGTTCTATTTTGCGCTCTGAATGAGAGAATGTGATAATTCAACATATTTTTTCCATTTTCTAGATTTGTTACTGGGTTGTCGCCAATACCACATATCATATTGTTCCATTAAAACAATAACGATCTTAAAGCTTATTACAAATATTATTTTACACTACGACAATGTCGCCAATAATTAAATAGAATAATAGTATTTCCGTTCATATTTCCACTAAGTTGAGGTATCGACGATAAAACCTGGAATGTATGTAATTATATTTTGTATTGTTAATATATTTTGTAAATATCAGATTTACTATGTATAAATGGTAAAAAGTTGTCCATATGGAGAATGTGCTTTGTCTGACAGCAACGACCGCGAGGTGAGTGAAATTTGTAGTACGACATTTTTTTATATTTCATAAAGTGAACTTAGAAAAGGGTTCATAGTTGTATCTTATGCTATGACGAAACAATTCAGTATTGGTAATTAATGTATAATTGAATGGAATCCAATTTTGTTTTGTTTGACAAAAGCTTCATAATACACTTTGAGAAATTGCATCTATCTACATGTGTATTGTATTATGTACTAGTTTCACCTATATACAAATTGATCAATGCGTGGCATATAGCGACCACAAACATACTTAACATGCACAGATTCAAAACCGAATTAACATGCATGGAAATTTCAGTTATACTCCCTTTTAGCAAGTTTAATGGATATCGGTTCAACGAGATCGGGGAACTATTTTTATACATACGAATTCGGGAGTTACCCAAGTAGAACCAGTTTATTGCATAGTGTAAAAGCCGACTAAAATGGAATACATAAATTAAATAAAAAAAATGATTAGAAAGAATGTTCAGCAATAATGTCCTGAAACGTTAAAGGGGAGTCGTCACCTGCGCCTGCGCGGGAATTGCCTCCAAAGCGACGATAACAACACACGCTAATAACGCAAAGACTCATGGGTAGACGCTTGTTTGTAAACAATAACACGCTATGGCCATCTGATGCATGCGCAGGTGACGACACCGCCGCTTTAATATATTATAATGGTGATCCAAACTGTTGCTTGATGGTTGGTTTAAGAATGTGAGTGGGATAATTTTAAGTATTTTTTAAGAATGTTGGAAAGACGGAATTATCACAAGCATGCAAAAAATATTTAGATAAATCATAGTGGTGTTTACTGGAGAAAGGAATAAAATGACACATTCTTTGTGTTCTATATGGAACAACATATACAGCTAATGTAAAATGTAATTGTTACAGAAAATTCAAAATCAAGCTGCACTGCGATCATTTATTTTACAGTGGATTTGTTTATCGACGATTTGCGTGATTTACACTAGTGGCGTTTTGGCACGAACATCAAATAATCAACTAGGTGATTGGTTAAAAAATATTTTTTAAATATTTCTAAAAGAAGATTTATCACAATATCACAGTGTTCTTCACAAATAAAATTAAAAGAGGGGCGCTAATTTGCATATAATTAGCATATTTAATTTGCATATAATTAGCATACTAATCAAACATTTCAAAGAAAATTCTTAGCACTTTTATATTTACATCAATTGAATACTGTGTACAAGTACTATATTAATGTTCTTGAATTATTTTGATGAATAAATTAAACCACTTGATGTGTAAGAAAATATAAACTTTGACAAATGAAGAATATCAATTTTATTCTTTGTAAAAGTGTAATGAAACAAGTTGTGAAATTCTAGCCTTTCATTTATTTCTTTTAAATTTCTTTCAAATATTTCCATAGGTTTTATAAATGCACTGAGATATTGTAATAGTTGAAAACCCCAAGTAATAAAAAGAAAAATATTTTCACATAACAAAATTACCATTTAAAATAAAAAAATAAAAAATCGAATCCGATGACTGTAAATAAATTAATCATCATGTTGATTGCATTATGGGTACTGAGGGCAAAGGCCAAATCAGATACCGTGACATCCATGTTGTTTCAGTGTTTACTGTACGTTTTGTTTTGGTGATTTATTTGATGATTCTATTTACTTTTCGCCAATAAAAGGCAAGTAACAAGCAATTGGACCAATTAATTGTTGCTGGTTCTCCTGTTCTTAAGTATCTAAGCTAATTCAGGAATGATGAGAAAACTTGGTTTGACTATCCCATTGCATGATTAACGCAATGTTTGTGACAATCACTTCACTCATCCATTCATTGTTTTTTGTTTATTTATTCAGTCAGTTTTTCCCCAGACATCAAATCCATTGTCCTAGTTGTCACCTATGCCACTATCTGTCTCTTAGTTCTTTGTTTTATCGCATGTCAATTAATAAAAGGTTTCTCAATAACGTCGTCGGGACATCTTCCAGGACTGTGAAACAGCGTGACACCGAAAACAAAGGAGGGTGCTGAAGATAAATAGATGGGCGCTACAAATTGAAGAGAGGCGCAAATAACTTAAAGAGGGGCGCTTCGCCCCTCTTAAACCCCTCGTGGAGAACACTGAATACTCAACTAACAATACAATGTATTTGATCAGGACGGGAAATGTGAATGCAGGGCGCTTGTTGTCCGATGCAGGGCGCACGACTACCTATGCAGGGCGCACGACTACCTATGCAGGGCGCAGCGCCCTGCTAAAACCCATCGTGGAGAACACTGCCACATGTTTCGTGATTTATTTAAATCGTTGTTATTCGTAACCAGGATTTAAATCTTAATATAGCCATGCAATGTGATACACATTATACTAATTAAAGCAAACGGAATAAATGTGATTGTATACATCTGTGGTTTGCTTTCTGGAATTTTTCCAGAGCATATATGCAACAAGTTTAAAAAAGTCTGAGGTGGACAGCAAAAGCGTAACAACGATACAGCACAATAATAAGACGTTGTTAAAGTTCGGGAGGTCGTCAAAATAAGTTCATTCGGGCATACTTTTTAATTTATGCCACATTTAACTAATTAAAATTTCATTACATCTAATTTCATTATATTTTTGGGGGAAATACTACACTTTTATTTTTAATAAAATTATTATAATTAAATTTGGCAATTTGTATGTAATGTAGTTTATTCAATGTAACTATTAAACAGTTGAAACAGTTGAAAAATAAAGGAAATTTGCAAAAATACTGCGTACAATTGATGAAGTACTATAATAATATATAGTATAAGTTTACACACAGTCTGCGAACACATAGAGTGATTAGAAATAGTTTGTTGGGATCAGTTCCTAGCCTATGCTAATGAAGAGCAACATACTGCATACACAAGCATTAATTTGCTTTCCGTGAGGTAATGTTAAGGGAATGCCAGTAAAGGTTTCAATAACCCCGGGTAACGTGACACGGATACTGTGATTTGCTTACAATTAAATATTATAACATCATCTCATTTGCATAGTAAACTACAAAGACGCTTGTATAACCAAATAAACTTGTTGATATTAACATGGTAACAGGTATATTGGCAGGCGAAGAACATTGCAACAATTACAGTTACAAACACTTGTCTTGACGTTTCATCAAGGATTAGCAAGGGTATGGCAATTGGCTTTATATTTGATGCAAGTCAAAACGTCGCAAATTCATAGGTGGTCATTGTATAACACGGCAAAAGGTCACACAAATGGGTGTTTCTATGAAAGAGCTAATTAGTAAATGTAACGTCAGGCTCATCTTCGCAGTATTGCATTTGCTGATTCGCAAACTTTTCGAATACAGTCATAATCTGTCTCGTTTCCGTAATCGCGATCATACAAGCTCTCGCGTAATCATGAAATTAGTATTATATTTACGTGCATAAATCAAATTTGCATCCCTTATTTTAAGTTTCTTGGTATCGTGCAATATCAGGACAAAAATATTTAATTTTGTTTAAACTCGAATATTATTGGCTGTATTGGCTGACAGATGTGTTTTTATTATAACATTAATCCGGAATATATCTGATAGTGCATGAAATGGGATGCATTTGTTCAATTTGGAATGAGAATAAAGAATTATTATATTACATATTTACGTTATCGCATTACTATTTTTTTTCATCTAGCAAATGCTCTGTGGGCAAAATAGGTTTGTTTGCATTTCCATTTCACAAAAGTGTCTATGGTACAATTGTGAATTTACAGTTACCAATCTTCACATGATGACATTTAGCTAGTAACATACATCGTAATTATAATAAGCATAATCTGTCGGAACAGTACCTAACAAGAATTAATACAAATAGCGCTCTAAGACGACTCATGAATAACATTCAGTTACTGTTCTTTGTCCTTGTGAGGTCAAAAGCAAAACACTGACCAAGTTTAAGCACAAACCAAAAAGTTAGGTTTGAACTCAGAGGTCACATAACGGACGATGAGGCAATACAACGTCTATTGAGTTATTTGGAACACGATGCCGGTCATTGGCTTACATGATTTTCGAATTAAATCTAAATATTCATAAGTTGATCATTATAAAGATCATTTTGAACAAATATATACCTCATGCACATGCGCACTAATTCGCGCATAGTGTAATAAACGTCCGGATTGTTAAAAAATATGCCATGGCTTTATTGACATGACTCACAAATTGCTTTTAAAAGTATAAAAATTTACCCGAAATTATGTGTAATATAAATTGTTTGCGGCTTCACATAGTGTAATCTGCAATTATAGTATATATTATGAAAGACTCCTAGGTTTCGATAATATTTTATGCTACCAGCATACACCAGAAATTTAACATTTCCTTTATTTACGTCTTCCAACAAAAATAAGACTGTAATCATCTTTTCATCACGTCAATAATATTGTGATTTGTTTAGAATCCAAATAAAGTATTATTGAATAAACCATCTACAGTTGAATTCTGGAAAATGTCTCTGCTATGGAAATATACAAGCTGACAGAAACCTAATCGAAATTAAATGTATGCTAATATGGTATGGAAATGGAAAGATATAAATAGACTAAGAGATGTCAGATGTGTTTTTATTAAAAATAATCATCTGGATGATATTTATCCGTGCACGATACAGTTATCCCACCAAGCAGAGACAAATATTTACATGAAACTATCATCTAATATTTGTGTATAGACAAAGCCCGTTTTGCCAGGAACACACGAAAACAAAATACAAAAATGCGATACTTTCGGAATAATTTTTCATTAAAAATAATTACTAATCTTACCTCAAATATTTCTCAAATTCACGGCTTTTAAACAGGCCATTCACGGTAACATGTGTGTACGTCTGTTAAACTTATAATACAGTTCGAGGTGTATCAGTCTCGAAACTAAATAAAGACTTTATAACTGTATAAACTGTCAAAATTGAAATATCGAAATTATTGGTAAAATTAAAAATGACTATGCTGCACAAACGTCAGATATAATTTGGGAATATTGCAAATCCTATATACAAGATAATTTCGTACTTTTCTCTAAATTAAATTTACAGGGCAAACGCAAACTACTACCCCTTCTTAAATTGAGAATTCTAAAATAATTAAACTTTTGATCATAATGATCTTAATGAATACGAGCAGATGAAACGTGAACTTAAAACACGGTTAAAATGGGCTGTAGAGGGCGACAGACCAACAAAATTTATACTTTTATGAACTGATATTAAATGCATACGTGTTGACAACACTTTGTATAACTCTTTTTTAAATTATGTCTGAAATGAGTTCATACAATACAAATGTATGCACATATATATGTATATATATATATGATAATTGTGCGAATAATGAAATAGATATCAGGCTAATTGCACAACAACGTTCACCCACAAAAAAAATGTCTATGAAAATGGAAATGTCTACCATGGGTCCTCATAACATCACTTGATCGTATTGATCGGTAAACGTAAGGCGACGCTAGTGAAATGTTTTTAATATCAAATCCGTTCAAGGTCAAAAAGGTGAATTACTCAAATCAGAAAGAAAATCATATTTACTGTAAATCAGATATTTTTAACTATAATGTTTTTAGGTATTTCAGCTTATCTGTAATTTCGCTAATTCAAGATGTAACAAATTTTTAAAAAAGTACATTCTTGCAGCATGATTGGTAGCACTTTATTTAAGATTTAAATAAAATGCAATAACTCAATTCGATATGTTGCCAATTCAGGGTATTTTATTATAAACATTCAAAAAATGTTGGCATTTAGCCAAAGATATTGTCAAATGCACAGTGATAATGTACGCCAAGTTTAAAAAAAACTAGGTATTGTATAATACAAAAATACATAAAAGCATACTGTGAACCTAAATCTTGACATTGTGGGTGACATAGAAAACACATTTTCTTCTTCTTTCTGTTGACTTCTATTGCCAAGATATATACCAAGATACATATACTTGCATACACGTAAGCCATAAATTGTCCTATGGGGGCGCTCCTTGGAACTGGTGCAGGTAATAAGTTACACGTACGAAGCATTTACAATAATAATTTGCGTCATTTTATTTCCTGGGTTAAAGAAAAGATTAGTTGCATTCAAATTCAGATTGAAATAAAATATTTTCAAGACTTGTCGGGAACATTTATTTCACACGCGTTTAATACAAAATGAGAACGAAAAATGTGTACATTTCGTATCTGATTAAATTGGTGGTTTTGTGTGTATTTCATAACATATATATAAATTGTCACAAGATATGTGTGTGTGTTAGGGACACAAGAAATGAGAAACATTCGTTCAACGCAGCAAAAAAAGACATACTGATGAGCATATCTACTCAAATACGTCTTATCTACCAACTTCGAACAAAGTCAAACAGACGAATGGCTTGAATTCCACCAAAAACTCCAAAGTTAGACTACATTCGAAAATGATTTAACATTAGGCGACATAAACCCTACTGTTGATTGCAATTGTTCGGTGGCTATTGAGAATCTATATTGACTCAAATATGGTTTTATTGTTCTGGACTTTGTGGATAAGCTAGTTACTGCTAGTTATTGATATCACTAGTATAGATTCTAAATATAGTAGGTCTAATAGTTCCAAAGACATATTCGTCAAAGCATAATTTTACGGATAATACATTACTTGCAGGAGCATACACATATAATAGTAAAACTGACCAATCCAGATGTTTTAAATACTCGAGTAATCTGTATTATGAACACACGTTTGTATTGAAATTATGCAAAGATTATTGAGCTAGTATTATTTTACTATTTAGTTTGTACTAGTTAAAATCCTTGAGATTATCAATGTTTTAGATGTAGCAAAATAAACTAATCTTCCCTGATCTGTGTAACCATAGTAACTGATTGTACTCGGTCATAGAAAGAGAAATTAACGCTAGTTAAGGAACTAAAGTAAGTCTCGAGGCTCTCATTCTATACGAGATCTCGGCCATTGCGTCAGTGAATTATTATAATTAGTGTTTTGTTTTATAAATCAGGATAAAATATTCAATTCAACAAAGCATATACACAACAAGACGTTAAAAAACAATAATAATACATTTGAGAATTTGGAAAGATTTTAGATATATTGTTACAGTCGGTTAGTATCCTTTGTTCCTTTCTCAATTACGTCTGCCCCTCTGTTATCTATGCCTTTCATCTCATTGTGTTCATACTTTGGCAAGTTCGTCCCATTCTGCGAATTGGAATCGTCGGGTGACTTTGATTTCCTGTGTAATGAGGTCAATGAATATCAGTTACATAATAAATTGTCACGTTAACATTTACTGATTATTAATAACATATCTCTAGGAGATGTTCCTGATAAAGACTAATGATTGCCGATATATATTCGCGTGGCATCTCCTCACTTTCTGTGTGCCCGAAGGGAAAACAGACAAAATTTGAAATTTGTTTCAAATTACATGTAAATTCGTGACATCGATACGCAATGTAGTATGTTTATGCGTCACTTCTAACGGGACATAAACCTGATAAAATGCACTTACTTTCCAAAACGTTCTCCCTCCATAAGAGTCTCTGGAAGTTTCTGATTACGTGTTTCAGGTAACAGTAATGTTAACAATCCAGCTAAAATTGACGTTGCTCCAAATATGATGATTGGTAATGGTTCCCATAGTGTTTTAATCAATATCATCTGTGGTGCTAGAATACCGCCCACCCTGGCACACATTGAGGAAAATCCCATTCCAATTGTTCTAGAAAATCAAACACAAAAAAACAATGCATGTTATTTCTTAGCAATTTCGAAATCTGTAAAAAAAATATTACATTGAAAATTAAAGGGCAGGAAATACCTGACAGGGGTCGGGTAGATTTCTGCTGAGAATACATAGACAATGGCGAATGCAGCTGAAACAGCGAATTTCCCAGTCATTGCAAGAGCGATTCCAATCCATTGCAGTTCACCTGAAGTAGAACACAGACAATTACATTGTTCTCGGTGTGAATAAAAAGATACACATATATTCTCTGCGCAAATGTGTCGAAGTAGATGTTCAATCGCATTGGATTTGTTTCAACGTCAGAGCAGACTTGTTCACTTTACAATCACAGATAGATAATCACGAACGAAAACCATCACTGTTATGTTTGTGTGTTGAAAAACAACGCTTATAGCTTTTTCAATGTTGTGATCTCTTAGCAATTCGTTCATAGTGTACAAGAAACACTTACAAGCTGGTGTGAACAACGTAAGTACACAGGCTACCCCTCCTAATATCAATGTTGATGACAGAGACCATCGACGTCCAAAGCGAGTCTCGGGAAGAAATAGAGCTAGAATATACGCTGGTATCTCCACTGCCCCCGACAAGAATGCGTTCAAGTAATCGTTTCCTCCTAGATTAGATGTGTTCAATGATAGACCATAATAGACCATACTTATAGTAAACCTTTTAAGATAGTGATAGATACAGACAGTATATAAGTATTATTTCTTTTAATATGACAGTTATGTGACGGGTGATTGAATGCGTACTATATCTCTAGGTAAAAGTAACATTAAATTAGTTTGTCTAACATATCTAACAACATAATGATGCCTATGTGTCATGTCAATAAATTCAAAAACAGGTAGAAATGACCTACTGGCACCGGATCATGTGGTGCGAAGGAGATTCAATCAAGCTATTTGTGCTGAAGTGATAGATACAGACAGTTTATAAGTATTATTTCTTTTAATATGACAGTTATGTGACGGGTGATTGAATGCGTACTATATCTCTAGGTAAAAGTAACATTAAATTAGTTTGTCTAACATATCTAACAACATAATGATGTCTATGTGTCATGTCAATAAATTCGAAAACAGGTAGAAATGACCTATTGGCACCAGATCATGTGGTGCGAAGGAGATTCAATCAAGCTATTTGTGCTGAACGCGAGGTTTAGAAAAGGTTAGTTGGTTGTCAACATTAAACATTAAACAACTTTCATAATCAGAGACGGCAAAATACGTTATTCATTTATCGTATGTACTTGTAATCTGGGTGAGTAAAAATCAATTTATGTGATAAACGTGATCCGAGTGTGTAATGCAAATTAATATCAACAAACGGCACGTGTGATACTAGTAAGGTGACGCCCAAGAAGCATTAGTGAATACACAATATCTGTATCTTTAAAGTCCGAAAAATGTAAGTCAGATTCTGGCATATCTTCTCGTCGCCTATAACTGCTCTCAGTATAATATCAATTGACCATTGTATATTGAACAATTTATTCTACTCCCTTGAAGTAGTGTCACAATTATGCTATTTCACATGACGCTGATGACATTTTGAATACGTCTGGTCCACTTATTCCGTTAAATTTGTTATTCTTTTTTTTGTAACCAACTATAACACAAACGCTATGTCAATTTGTTTGTACTTTAAACCTACTTTGTTCACATCATTTTGTATTTTCATCATTTATTGGGACACATATAGGACTATGCGATGTTAATCATGGGACATAAACTAAGTGCCAGACCAGACTTACACATGCATGATATGAATTGGTACAAAAAACGTTAGTCTTATAAATCCTACCTTTTTGAAACAAACTGCGAACAAAATTCTAAAAAATAGACGAAATAATATTACAGTGTACAAATAAACTTTATCGTAATAACGAGTGAATTAAAACTGTGTGTATGGTGTGTGTATAAGTTTGTAGTATTCGTGTTACGTCTACGCTGTGTGGGTGAATATGATATTGTCTTGTTATATCTACTCTATACAGACACTGGTATACTCACCAGTTGTAGAATATGTTCAATGATTTTTTGCGCATATTTGGCATACGGAACAAATCTAGCGCATTTCCCTTTTCTTCCTCATCCTAGAATAAGAATTGAATGTCATAGTATGACTCGAGGTTGTTTCATTCACGCCGCTAGTCTAAGACGCACTATACATATGCAAAGACCAAGACACACAAAAAGATGCTTTAAATGTGTATATGCAATATAGAACAGGAAAACGTGGATCTCATTATGGTTTAACAGTGACCAACTATAAACCCAAAACATCGAATGGTGATACAACACATACCTTGGGTTTGGTAGTTTCTACAGTGTCTTGGGATATTTCTTTATACACACTGTCCGGAACGTCGACCTTATTTACTTTAGCACAGTCTCTAATGATCTTTCCAGCTCTTTTGTTTTTACCAACCGAAAGCAGCCATCTTGGAGACTCTGGCAGAATCCTGTGAATAAACAATTCTAGTACGACTACTCTCGTGTGAATAAGCTTATATGCATATAATGCCGACTCGCTCTCTATTTTCAGAATTTACTGCACGTTCAATCTGCTGCTATACATTAAATGGCGGCGGTCTTCGTTACTCTTCATGTTTGCTATGGTTCTCAAGCGCAGCACGGTGACCATCGCCCTTTAAGTACTCGACGCAAAATAAATGTTGACAAAGCTGAACCACAATGCTGGACATAAAACGTACATATAGTGAATACGAATTGCGATTGCATTCAAACATTGCTATAATATCACGTTATTCACGTTGCAAAAGGAATATATATATATATGATCGTGTTTCAGCGAAGCTCGGCGAAGTTTACCAAAGCACGTGCTGCTTTAGTGCTGTTATGTCAACGTGACTCACAATAAATCACTTACCACCAAAATGTTAGAAATATAGATGCCGGCACTGCTAAAGTTAATTGCAGTTTCCACCAGTATCTAATCAAATACGCTAATCCAGCTAGAAGCATGTACCCAAAACTGAAGAAAAACTCAATCACAATACCAGTGAACACTCTCTTTGATGGACCAACGAGTTCCGTACCTGTACACAGTAAATGGTTTATGTTTAATATTGAATAATAAAGTAAGGTAGATTACGAGATTTTGTTATTAAATAACACTTTGTGTTGATCGTACCTAAAACAAAGCTGACGAGGAACATGCCCATGCCTCCACATCCAACGATGAGTCTGAAGAAAGAATAGACGGCGATATTCGGGGAAAATGCACATGCGGTACCTCCAAAGGCCATGCACATAACTGCTAACATCAATGCCGGTAAGCGACCAATTCTGAAAAAAAAGAAAATAGAAATTCAAGTATTTGCTGTGGTTGGTGGATATTCCCTATCCATGTTTAACTCTCAGAAGCACCTCTGAAGTCTACCACCATTTTAGTACTTTAGAACTAAACTAAACTAAACTAAACTAAACTAAACTACACTAAACTAAACTGAACTGAACTGAACTGAACTGAACTGAACTGAACTGATAGACTAGACTAGACTAGACTAGACTAGACTAGACTAGACTAGACTAGACTAGACTAGACTAGACTAGACTAGACTAGACTAGACTAAACTAAACTAAACTAAACTAAACTAAACTAAACTAAACTAAACAATGTTAAATACATAACAAGTTTGACTTATAAATATAGTTGAAATATTTCTACAAAAAAAATTGAATCTAAATGTCTTCTCATATAGACTCTGGTAAAGCCCAATTCAATCATACAATTGGCAATTATTGCAACATCCTAAAACAGTAATATATTCGAATCGTTAGAATGTTTGGTAAAAATCAATTCAAAATTATTAAGTTCGTTTTATGTTGAATTTAATGTTCGAAGATAACATTGACCTCTTCCTTATAAACATTGTCTCCATTTCAGTATCGACAAATTTGATATAAATCACAACCAACTGACTCAATATCAAAATACAATTTATATGTTATATGTTATACGAGGTGTTTCAAGTGAGTTAGTTTTAGATTGGTCACAGTCATGAATGCATCGTAGCGCACCAATAAAGAGAAAAACAGCTAGGCAAAGGCATAAAATTATCTAAATGATATTTGCATCTTTGAAGTTTTAACTGGTCGGCCAGGTCATACCGCCATTTTAAAAAAACAAAAATGTATAATGCGTGTATGAGTTTTAAACATGATCGGTAAAAACATGTCAGACATAAGGTTTTTTGAACCATATTCATTTAAAAAGATGGCCGTTTATTGTTCATTTTACTACGATCTGCAAAATAAAGTCGGAGATTTCGGAATGACTAACACAGTACACTTGATTTTGGTAAAATCTCAGTACTAAAATGTCCGCTATTTGACCATTTCGAACCGGGTCATGTAACTAATAAACGTGCATATGTATCACAGAATGTGTGCGACGTTTAAACGTGATCGGTCCAGGCTTCTCTGGGACACACGTACGAGCATTCGGCCGGAAAAACGGACGCATGTACAGAAGTAAAATAATTATTTGGGTGAAAGTGATAAATAATAATGAAAAAATGAATACAACGTGTACAATGGTTATACACTTAAAAAACACTCAGTATGATCGTAAGTTACAGAACGGTGTAATTACACTAACATTTGAGCAGCTGTTCTGCTACAGAATGAGATATATTATTGGCTGGCTTAATATGCCACAATGATTATGGGATTCAACGGTACTTATCTTAATGTACAATTTTCCAACGATAATAAAAAGTACTGGTTACCAAGGAGAATGTGCAAAAGTATACCCAATCAAGTTACCATTCTGAAAAACGATATATACAAAAGCGATATTAGTTGGAAGGATTATACTCACTTATCAGACAGAGCTCCAAAGACCAAGGCACCAACCATCAATCCAACCATGTACATAGAAGACGACAGTGCGCCTAAATAATAACGATCACAAACCAGGTCAAACTGTAAAAACGAAAATGAGATATTACAAATTATGTAAATATATATTGAGAATTACCTGCTTGTTGTATATGACTACGTACTTACAATGTTTTGAAGGAAATTTATCAAGACAAACCTCACTTTTGATACGCACGTGTTATTCTGTCCTATACTAGAATTCAAGTATAAACTTTATATAATATTAAAAGGCGGTAGTCGTCGCGCCACGCATGCGCGATGTATATGGGTCTCATATAAACAAGGATGGCGACTTTGGCTGTTGCGCAGATCAACGAGTACAAACTAAGGAGTTATCAAGCTTTAGTCTGGTATTTTTAGGGAAGGTATCGAAGGAGTCACCGGAGGTAATTAGTGCAAGTCGCGCCCAGGTCAAATATCATACTTGTGATTTCAATTAGAAGAGCGCATTGGATTCTGGGAAAATCAATGTTTATCAACACAAATGTCACACATGCGCAGAGCGACGACTACCGCGCTATAACTTACAG